CATAATCAAACCCTGATGTCCGTACATACAGAGTGTTTCTCTACTTTATCAGCCATGTAGATATGGAATCTGCCTCCTACGCAGTGCTCTAGCCACAGTGTTGTTATGGACACTGTCACAGCCCCTTGTACTGATGTATAGTCTCATACCTTCTCTCTGATTCCCCCACTGTGAACACAGACAGCTTCCCATGGCTGCATCCCACTCAAAATTACACATCTTCTTTAAGTGGTGTTCTGAACATTAAGGTCCTTATTTTGTTTTTTGTAAAGGCCAAATACACAAAGTGTACTGTTTCTATCACTTAAAATACAATAAAGGCCAAGATCGTGACACAACATGTTATAAAAAAAGTTTTGAGGAGGAGGAGGACCTTATTAAGCAATTAAATGTCCATTTTAATTTATGTACTTATTTATTTTGCAGTATTCTTCACAAATTTCGCTGCCAAAAAGTCTTATCATCTTTCCTGGTAATTCACCTTAAGATATCCCATACTGTAAGTCAGCTGTTGGTGCATTTGTGCTTACACTTAATATGTTTTACCATGGCTGAATAAGTCAGAGATTGTGGTTATTTCTCTCAGATTTATGTCTGACCATATATCTTTGCTTACCTGAACCCTCTTTAAAAATATGCCAAAAGCATTTTGTTGAAAAGTCATCCCACAGATAGTAAGCAAATATACTGTAGTATTGCTGTATTGATTAATCACTTTTAACATTTTTCTGCCCTTAGTGTTAGATTTTGACAACACTCTGCAATGTCATAGCAAAGATGTTAGTTGAGCAAAACTATCCATGTATTACTCAATTTGCTTAGTAATATTTAACTAGAAACAATTGCAAATATGGCACTGCAGAGTTTAGGTACAATCAAGCAGTTAAATTGCTATTTCTGTAGCCAGATAAATATAGCAATTAAGCTGAAGGTTGTATTAAATATACAGGTAGAGCTGCAATGTAATGAATTGGAAGGGCCACGTGTTGAGTTTCAGTGGGGATGTTTTTTTGGAAGCAAAGGGTGGCAGCTTTCTCCTCTGAAATTTGTCTGCATTCCCAAAAATTGTCCCAAAACATTTCCTCCATAACCATTACCTAAAAAAAAAAATGAGGGTACGAGGGAAACCCACAGGGAACTGAAAAACTAAATAGGTACTGTATAGGTGTTGCCACTGAAAGGTGTTGAATAATGTAGGCTTTTGTTTCTTTTTTGCAGCTGATTTTAAAATGTTTGACTTCAGATAAGCATTATGTTCACAGGTTTAAGAGGGTTAAATTCAAATACATCTGTAAAAGATATAGAATTATCATTTTTACCATAGTAGCATTTGTAGTTGCTTTTAAACATCCTGGCATGTCTGAAAAGAGAGGCATATATCTTATGAGTTTATATAAAGTAAGATTAATGTCTCTATATATGCTGTTTAATGACCAATGCAGATAAGCAGAATGGAATATATCAATTTAATTTTCAATTTCCTATATTGACAAAAGAAAACATGCTTCATATATAAAAAATCTCAAGGTATTTGGTTGATGTAAGAAAAAAAAAAGATTAAAATGTTTCTATACTGTACATTTAATGATGGGATATTTTAGGTGGGGGTTGTGTAACAATTGCTGATAATATTTAGCATTCTCAGTACATAGAAGCTACTGAACCATTGCCAAAACAGCTTGTATCTTGTCAATTTTACCATACGGATATTTCCAAAAGATTTGGAATTCTTAACTTTTTGTTAAACTCCTTTGAGAGATGGATGGCAGTTTGTTTCCCATTTTGTAAGCAAAACCTCATGGATTTCTCCATCTGGAATCAGTTGGAGTTAAAAAGATATTCCTAAAAAAGTCCCAAAACAACCCATATGGATAAACATATGCATAGTGTACATAAAATAACATGTTATTTAGCATATGTTGCCTAAGCACTGCTGAAACACTCTTAGTGGAATTCTTAGCTATGGATAAGGTATTGAAACTGATCTTAAAAATAAAAATTGCCTCACAATTAATGGAAAGCAAGTTCATTACAAAATTTGGAACATTAATGCAATTATTTTCTCCACATAAGGAGGCTTCATTGGATTTTGTTCTGTGTGCACACAGGCTCATATGAGCAATGATAGTGCTTGTCATTCTTTCTGATAAGTATCTGCCTGGATTGAGTAAGACTCAATTTAGCCAGGATATTCATTATTTTAAGTGTCTCCTCTGACCTTACACAATCAAAACTTTCATCTCATTTAGAATTAGCATATTGTAGTTGAATAGATCTGGAGCCTACATGCTGGAACAGACATATTGTAGAAGAGAAATAGAAATATATTTTTACAAATAGGTAGGTGGTTACGAAAATGGTGAATATCAGAAAATGACCAAGCCGATAAATCAATAATTAAAATAATCATAACCCCCAACTTGGAGATTGTGCTAAGTATTTACCCAAGACGTTGGTATAATTGGAGGCACCTGAGTTCTTTGGTCTCTGGCACAGCTTTGATGAAAAGAGTAATAATTCATACACACTGGGTTAAACAAATATTTATAAATAATGATATACAAAACAACACACAACATAAAAATACAACACACAAGTTGCACTATGTACACATTTACCAGAAAGGCATTTCAGAGGCCTACTGTAATGTCCTAACCACCCTGAAAAACTACAGATTCCTACCAAGTATTCAACACTTATATGATGCCTATACAGGCCAAAATAAGAGATAAAGCTTCCTTGTAAACCAAACAGAATATTAATGCATATCTCCCACTAACAAGGAGAGGCTGTTTTTAACTGGGGGATTATTCCCCCACAACCTACAACCTGTAGTTCCCTACAACAACAAAATAGCAAGCTGTTTTAACAAGTTTCAAATACCTAACTACAGTCTGGGCTTTCTGGATCATCAGGATTAGGAGCTTTTGCCTTCTGCCTTTCTGTCTCTAGTCATCCCTGCTGTGTCTTCTTGTCTTTTTCTTCCCAACATGCCTGTTTTATGCTGTTTTTCTGAAGTGATGATTGACATATAATCATTTATCGAAAACTTACTTAACTAAAGTAAATCAATGTAAACTTTACGATTGCTTTGATCACTGAATCTCGGATTCCTACTGTACATCTCAGCAAATATCCCCTTGCTTTAAAGCTCCTGAGAGCTGAAAATGCTGACACAAGTCAGGTGTTACCCTTTGTATCTAGATTCTTCAATAATCACAATTTGCTGTAACAATACTCTGGTATTTTGATTTAACACAATTTTTTGTTGTACAGTTGTATTAGTTTGGATTGTACTGAAATTGATCAGAGAATTAATCAAAGAAGCTGTGCTAATAACCTTTGAGAATGAGAAATATGTGAATTCTGAACTTTCTTTGGTTAAGTGTTTATAATTTTAAAATTATGATCAATGGGTGCTAAAAAACTCATTAATTTCACACCAGATTGAGTTTAATACTTAAAATTGAAAAACATAGATATTAAAGGCATTGCAGATGTCAATTAGATTGATAAAATAGTAGTAGCAGCAGCCATTATAGAAGCAACCAAATTCCTTATAGTGAAAAATTGTTTACTTTCATTAAAATTAATGTTAGTATCTAGTGTTATTAAACTAGCGTTATTAAACAGGCTTTATGAATATTGGCCCATTATGTTTTACATCTGTTTAAGACTATTTCTTGCTTTGCTGTTTTGTCTTTGGGCAAGCTGCATAAGTGTGAATTTGCATGTGGAGGTTACTCTCCAGTGGGTATTCTAGTCTACGCTTCACAGATTATGACTGGCAATATTGATAATATTTTGATTGCAGCGCAAAGGTTTTCTCTCTTTCTAACTTGCAAACGAAATGGGTTCACATAGTTCTTCACATGGTCAGTAATGATATAGAAGAAAGCCAAAATGTAGACTTTAAAATATGAAATTTAAATTGTAACATATACAGTAGTTACAGAATTCAAAATATAAAATGTGTGAACCAAACCATTAACCATACTGAACAACCCATTATCCATTACCCTGTGCTGTCCATTATGCTGAAGAGAGCTCTGCAGGTGTCTCAAGTTGAAATATATTGGTGTTGTACCATGTAACACATGGAGTATACACCTTCCTTAGAAATTAATATTCTACTTTTCCAGTTTGATTGTCTTGTCTCTTTTTTTTGGTCACAGTTTTGTCTATTTTTTAGATTCTAATCATAATATTTTCAGTAGATCCTCATACAGTATATCTGTTATATTTGAGGCACTGTTAAAGTCAGTCTGCTCTATTAAAATGGTTCATGATTCCTGAAGTGGTTTGCTATAATATTAGACACAACCTTCATTTAAAGGGGCTTATCACAAAGTCATTATAGCACAAAATTGAATTGGGTTGTGGTAGGGTTAAAATACAAACCAAACCATTTTTAGATTTTATTTTCGACATTGTAACCAATAAATTAAGCCTGAAATGAAGTTTACTCTAAAAAATCTAGCAATGAATCATTCAGTGTCCTTAAGTGCTTCATTCTAGTTCAGAGTGAAGTGCAAAATCTAAATTGAACGCCTCCAGGTTTATGTACATAAACATCACCTCTTGCATTTTAATCTAAATGAGCTGGTTTGCATTTTTATTTTTTATCCCTTTGGTCATGTGGGTAAAATAAAACAACTAGTTAGCACTACAGATGGAGAAGCCTGTCCTTTCAGTGTTAAGCCTAGTTATATTCCTTTCCAGTCCTGGAGAGCTACTTCTAGTTTTCATTCTGCCTGAGCTTTTGCACATTATTGAAGTAGCCATTCTTAAACATCACTGTTTGAAAGTCTTTATCACTGAAGGATTTCAGATTGCTATAAAACCTGTAGGGTTTTGGGTCTCCAAACCATGGAAGTATGTTTACTGTATTACCCTGTTAGGCTTTGGCTATGGCTTAGATAGCTGTTTAACCTATAAATGTGAATTACAAGTCCATAACCACCTTGATGAGAGAAAATTTTCTGAATTTGTCTTCACAGGGTTCTTAATGAGAGGTGGATGGTTGGCTGTGTCTCTACTCCTTCAGGCCTGGCTTCTCGTGTCTCTCTGTCTGGGGGAAAGACCATGCCCTAGGAGCTGCCGCTGTGATGGGAAGATTGTATACTGTGAGTCTAATGCCTTCCGTGACGTACCAAACAATGTTTCGGCAGGCTGCCAAGGCCTCTCCCTCCGTTATAACAGCTTGCTAAGCTTGCGAGCCGGCCAGTTTTCTGGCCTCAATCAACTCATTTGGCTTTACCTTGACCATAATTACATCAACAGTGTAGACAGCAATGCTTTCCAAGGCATCCGCCGACTGAAGGAGCTCATCCTGAGTTCCAATAAGATCACAGAGCTCCACAACACCACTTTCCATTCTGTCCCCAACCTGCGTAACCTGGACTTGTCCTACAACAAGCTACAAGCTCTGCAACCTGGGCAGTTCCAAGGGCTACGCAAGCTGCTCAGCCTGCACCTGCGCTCCAACTCCCTAAAGAGCGTGCCTGTCCGAGTGTTCCAGGACTGCCGCAACTTGGAATTCTTGGATCTCGGCTACAACCGCCTACGTAGCCTGACACGCAATGCCTTTGCAGGGCTGCTCAAGCTAACAGAACTACATCTGGAGCACAACCAGTTCTCTAAGATCAACTTTTCCCACTTCCCACGCCTTTTCAACCTGCGTGCACTCTATTTGCAGTGGAACCGCATCCGTTCCATCAGTCAGGGTCTATCCTGGACTTGGACCTCCTTGCAGAAGCTGGACCTTTCAGGAAATGATATTCAAGTGGCGGAGGCCAGCATCTATCAGTGCTTGCCTAACCTTCAGACCCTTAACTTGGACTCTAACAAGCTCAGCAACGTCTCTCAGGAGGCAGTTGCTGCTTGGATCTCCCTGACCACCATTAGCCTTGCTGGCAATGTGTGGGACTGCAGCCCTAGCATCTGCCCCCTGGTATCCTGGCTCAAAAACTTCAAGGGGAACAAGGAGACCACCATGATTTGTGCTGGTCCCAAGGAGGTGCAAGGGGAAAAAGTGATGGACGCTGTGGAGGCTTATAGCATTTGTAAAGAGACACCTGCACCTTCTACTGAAAAGCCTCTCCCTCCTGCCCAGACTCCACCAAAACCCAGGCTACCCCCAAAGCCTACTGTGCCCAAGCTGGGAGAGGAGGAGTCCCAAGGAGTCCTTCCAAGTCCCTCACCCTCAGGTGCTTCCACCTTATCCCCGGAGCCAGAGTTCGAGCACGTCTCCTTCCACAAGATCATTGCAGGCAGCGTGGCACTTTTTCTCTCAGTGGCCATGATCCTCCTGGTGATCTATGTCTCATGGAAGCGGTACCCAAGCAGCATGAAGCAGCTGCAGCAGCACTCTATGGTCCGCAAACGCAGGAAAAAGGCACGGGAGGCCGAGCGTACACTCAGCTCCCCCCTGCAGGAGTATTATGTGGACTACAAACCCACAAACTCTGAGACCATGGATGTGCTGGTTAACGGGACAGGACCCTGCACCTACACCATCTCAGGCTCCAGAGAATGCGAGGTATGATCCGCCATCCTCCTAAAAACCATTTCCACTGCGGGGAATGAGAGGTAAATTTTTCAGTGCTTTTGAAAGGTGGAATTGTCTCGGTCATTTGTTTGATGATAGAAAATAAGGCTTCCAATGCACTGTAATTGAGATGCTTACTGTAATGACTCAACTACTGTTCTTTCTAGGGACTGTTAAACAGCCCTGAATCCAAACTTAGTCTCACTAAGTGTTTAAATAGAGATAAATAAATAAACTAATATATTTAGTTTATATATTTTATATTTTAATGACTTTTTATGATGTATTTATTATAGTATTAGTATTATTTATTATGTAATTATTAACATAACTTCTATTGTAAATATCATACAGAAGTCTGAATTACTTCAAATTACTGTGCAGTGAAAGTTTTATTTAAATAAATGTTTTTTTTTTAGCTTAGCTGAATTATTTTATTTTGAGTTTGGAGAAAATATGTTATATAACATAGATTATCTTTTTGTATAATCTATTTATTTCAACATCTGCAAACTAAAGATACTTGGTCTCAGATTTTACATACTGTACTAATCTGCACTGTATCATATCTAGAGATTTTCCTTGCAGTAGGATTCCATTCTCTTTGTTCCTTTCTGCCTTTCTTCAAGTTTAAGGAATCAATGAATCATAATATATTCAAGGACACATATTCAAATTGTTTTGCATCATTATTCACAGCCATCAGAAACTGTGTGATCTGAACAGTTTTAGGGGATGTAATGTAATGTAAATATATATTAATTTATGCAGAGCTAAAGTATGTGAGTCACAGCAGGTTAACGGAGAGAAGTTATGTGAATACAGCCGGTAGCATTTTTTTTTTCAATAAGATGTCCTGTAATAGATTCCAAAGTTGCCTTACTGCATTTATTTAACTTGATAAAATTTGTTAAAATGTGCATATCTCATTGGATATTTTCAGGTTTCCATTGTCTACCCTACAGCTCTGTCAGTTTTCATATGTAGTAGTCTATTGTTCTATGTTCTTTCTGCAAAGAAAATTAATTGCCAGCATAAAATAAATCATTCTTCTGGATCGCCTCACTGAGGTATCATTGTGTAAACTTATTCAGTTTTCTGTTCAGCTACGTTAATTATACAACTGCATGTTCAGCTCTCTAATTATTACAGGGCTCTGCCATATTATAATGAGCAGTCTTGGCACAGATATAATAGGAATGAAACGCAACAGTAAACACAAAAATGGAACAGATGTTAACACAGCGGGTAACTGGGATAGCATGGTCTTAGGCATCATGCAGAGCCTCACACAGATGCTCACACAGAAGGTTGTGATTTATGCTATGGCCATGCAAGTGTTTCAAAATGGCAGGGCAATTCAACTGTGTTTTTGAGGTTCCTGGACTTTGTACAATTATGAAGAAACTGATATGTATTTTAGTTTCTATTGATTTTTGTAGGGGCAATACAGTGTATATAGATGTAGTATGATATGAGTGTGGATTAACTGGGGCCAATAAAGCATGCTATCTTAATTTAATTTAATGTTTTCCAAGAGGGTTTGTTAGGTAGAGTCAAATCTGTATTCTAAATTATAGCACACATGGAATCTACAGTACTCATCTGAAGTCTACCTATTTTGCTTCTCTTTTTGACAGTGTAGATTTGCCAATGTAAAGGCATAATACGATACTCTTAGTAACATCCAGTATCTGTTCATTTTTACTCTTCTTTCGAGTCCTTATTTTGCTATATGATTTTCTTTGTTTTATGAGAACCTTCTCTCTAATTATTATTGCCTCATTGCATAGCATGGGACCTGTTCCAACCATTTCTGAAAACTGAAGTCAAATTGTACGGTTTCCCAAAACTTCACAAAATAAATTACAATAACAGTATGAATTAATCTCACTGTCAGAATGTATCTAAATATACTAAATCATAGAAAATGTATTTTTCTTTTTCAGATTTCCATAGGTAACTTTAGAAACTAGGGTATGTGCATAAACAAATGTGTCACATTTTGAGAATCAAATTTGAAGAGTCTGGATTTGGCAGAGCAGGTCACATACAGTATGATCTCAATTATCTCAACACTATTTTATTAAACAGTATATAAAAAACAAATTGTTAAAGATGTTAGTTTAAGAAGTGATCGCTTAAATACAATAAACAGTTTTGTTGAATATTGTAGAGAATTCAAGCTCTAACTATTGCTGTTACATTTTACAGCCTGGTATGAACATCCTAGGGCATATAGCATCCTAGGGCCTTATGCTTCATATGTCACAGTAAAGCCTGGCCTCTATCTGATTCTTCCTCAGAAGACATGTGTCTTATCCCCTCTATCCTGCCTGATTTACTGCTCTCTTTGAGGAGATGACTTCTCCTGGGGCAATGGCTGATCATTTCTTGATGAGGGTGCTAGATTTTTGAGACAGGTTTTTCAGTACCTGGAAACAATCAGTTTTGTTCTTCTTTCATGAAATGACTACAGAGTTTATTCGCTAAGGGGGCCGTTTGGCAGAGTGTTAGCAAGATCGCAACTCATCCATACCGTATACGATTGCTGAGGGTGAATCATTATAGTGTGCTTGCAGGGTCTGTAGGTCAGCCTGAGAAACCAACATGCCAAGATCATGGAGGGGAAAGAATATCGTGTTTCCCCTTAGGGAAATCTCAGCCATAATGGCCTCTTTAAGAATGTTTTGGGGGTTTTAACTCTGCTGCCAGTCAGAATCAGTGGCTTCATTCATGCCAAGACAGATTTTTATTGGAGAGCAATCATATGTCTAGCCTGAGTTCTATTTCTATTTTACAGAAAATTATCTACTGTTTTTTGCTACATTGGGTAACACTACATTGCTTTCTGTAACCTTGCTGATACTGGGTCTTCTTGGTTACAAAATGTCATGTTGAGTAGGTAGCTGTGTCTGAATGCACAGACTGCAGGTAAAGGTTCCTTCCATGCTGAAAGGTAAAGAAAAGAAACACAACATATCAGCTGTGGTGTATTCTTCGGGTGTGAGGGACATAGGGAAAGTAGCAAATAAAAAAAGCATAGGAGAACGAAAAAAAGAAAAAAAGAAAAGGAAAGATTGTGGCCATTAGAGGTGAAATGGGGAACTCACGGTTTGAAGAGATCTTTGATCTTCACAACTCTGACATGTTACAGTATGTTGTGTCTGTTTTCTTTACCTTCCAACATACAGTAGAATGAACCTTTACCTGTTCCTTTAGGAAATGTCATGTCTTTCATATCTTGTCATCTTACTTTTCCATCTTACTTGCCTTTTTTCTGTGAGATATGGAATACTGTAGATCAGTGTGTGGTGTTTTCCCTTCAATTCACTTCATCCTACAGTTGGTTCCATATTGCAAGCTAGCAAGAAAAGTGGCAATAAGTTCAGGTGCAGCTGTATTGGAAAAATCATAATACTTGCTATCTTGGAATTTCCTTTTTACTAGAAAAAGTTGATGTAGTACTGATATTTACTAACTGCTGGGTTATTCCCTGTCAAATCATTTAAACATTTTGAGGTCACCATGTATCTCAAATTTGAAAATCAATAAAATTAAAGCAATTTCCATAGAGACTAGTCTGAAATGTAAATGGTCATCTCCTAATAATTGCTGGAAAATTATTATTAAGGCTTGGATGGTACAGCCCACTTTTTAGATATGAAAAAATACACAGCAATTTCAGAAGCTAATAGTATTTGAAACAAGTATCATACAGTCACCAAAATCACATCCAGAATTTATTCACTGAATCTAGAAACCACACAAATAAATCAAGAGATTTATTTTAGAACTTTAAGATGTTTAATTAGAAATGCTGTGACATACTGTAGATCAAACATTCATCTAACTATGTGCACAATTTCAGTTTTTACATCTTTATTCCAGAGATATAAAAAAGAGAAATGGAAAAAAGAGTACTTATAGACAGAATTACATTTTCAGACATTCAATTCTGAATAGGATTAAGAAAGTGATTTCTTGATAAATATAAATAAGTAGTTTGATAGTTTGCCTGTGCTGTATGACTTTCTGATTTAATGCACATTCAATTGTTAGTACTACTGTAGATTTTACTGCTTATTATCTTCATTCAAATTATTGATTCAAAGAACTTTAAATAATTTTTACTGTGTGTTTCTTTTAGTTATTTCAAATACTTGTAAAGGAGAATTACATTTTCTTTCTAAAATCTGTTGTGTATAAACTCAGGTGTTCAAATAGTGCATTTTCCTACAGATATTTCTTATGGGAATAGGTATACAGGTGTCACAAGTTGTGACAATGCTTTATCTGTCTACAGTCAACTGTAGTATGAATTCACAACTGTAGTATATCAGTATATCAGCTCGGTTCTGTAGAGTCACGATTCTGCAGGTGTTGCACTGAGCAATTAAATCATTAATTCCAAAACACATAAAACAATAGCAGCAGGAGTAATCACAAAATAGTATAGAGATCACAATCAGTGGTAAATTTCCCTGGTAAGGTACAGTGCAAGAATCATAACAAACTTTCGCTATTATACTGTCCAGCTCAGGTGGATGAATGTCATATACCATTTGGTCAAATCCTATATTGTTTTCCTATTCTTTCTAAGTTTTAGCAGTGGAAGGCAGTATATCATGAGAAAACATAATTTTTTAATCATGCAGTGTCAGTCGTACTTCAGTCTATTTCATTAAAGATTTTTTCCTTTTTTAGTCATCATCATTCATATGTTCACGTGTGGGAAGGAATATGTCAAACATGCCCAAAGAAGCAATCTATCGCATACTTACAATTTCATTTTTATAAACAAATTGCTTTCTTTTTTCTTTTGTCCTGAAACTGCAATTAGGTCTGTAAAGACAGTTCTTTTCAGTAAAATCATTTATATCTCTAGAGTAGAGATACATTCCAAAATTAGATTTATTCCAAAATTAGATCAATGTGATAACGAACCTGTGTGTCCAATGTTATACTATCTAAAATATGCCACCTCCTTT